GTGTGGAAGTATATATGTATGTACTTCTATAAAAGCTAGTCTATTGGGAACGGTTTTTTTCCCATCTCGTATGCTTTCATTAGTTGATCATTCCAGTCCACTTTCTCGTAATGTATTTCTCGTCGTGCGAAATGAAAACGCCAAAATTTCTTGTTCACTCCAAACTCATATTCTGAAAATAAACGTCAATGAAAGGAACTGTGTGTATTGCCTAAACCGTTGTACGTAAAATACGATAGAACAAGGCAAATCTTAGAAGGTGAGTGAATACACAAGAGAGAGAGAGAGAAGACCTAGTCTTTCTGATCATCAGTTAGAGTGGGCCTACGGTTTTCATCCGGAAAATCTAACATGAGTAGCATGATCCAGTTCACGGGTCTAGATTTGTTTACCAGTTGTTGGGGTAGTCATTCCTGCCGGTTTTCGACGTATCATCACTCTCATTACGAATTAAAATGTGCTGCTTCGTCATTCATTCCAATTTCAAATCCGCACGACTATTTGTTTCTTTACGCACTTTCGTTTTGGTGCGTTTCGTATTCGCATCATTAGTGGTGATTTTTATCCCTCTTAGTCACAGTTTTCCTAAAACCGGCTTGGGTAAACTCTGAGCAACTCTGTTGCAATAGCCAGATGAAAGTTGCCTTGGCCAAACGGTATCATCAACATCTTTTATGGAGCGATTTTTCAGATCACGTGATTCACCTCCGGACAATCTTTGATTTCTCATTAGAAATACTTCATCCTTACGCATGATATCTCGAATTCATATTATTATTACTAATACCAATATTGTTATATTCCACACTTGTGGGTTCGGATCGTTAAAAGACACGTAGTAGAAAAAATCTTTTTGGTCAAAAATTCAATCCATGTATAGTTTTTGATTGCAGTCACTTACCTAGCCCAACTCACTGGTGCCTGTTGTTCGGTAAACATAATCATCGGATGGTATGCAGTTCCACTTTATCTGTTCCCTTTCTGTTTGCATTTCGCATTCAGTCCTCTCGCATTTTCCATTCTGGATTCTCACTTGTCCCAAGTGGCTGATTTGTTTCGTCATGAATTTGCCGTCTGGTATCGCCGCTCTCGAGACTTTTCTACAACTGATACCACTACCTCAGCTGTCCCAGTAAATGTGTCCCCCGGTAAGTCTCTGTTCGTAATTATCTTTGTTTGTATGCGGTGGTTCTCTCTCTGTTTATCTATTTTCAAACTATACGCGAGATGTGCATGCTGTCGTTTGCAGTCAAATTTGTCACAACCAGTACAATTTTTTGGGTGTCCTAACTGGGCACGGTACCGACTTCTTCACAGCAAATACCACCTCAAGCAAAACCTCATCCCTAGCCATCGACTCGCAAGGCAGTTAGCGGTGCTTGCTTGCAGTTCGCGATCCGTTTGTGAGCCATTGTCTTGCCGATCAGGTTCATACAGTGCCCAATAAACCATATTACCCAACCGAGTCAATAATCCTATTGTATTCATGAATTCCGAGGATAATTCGTACGCACCATCATTTGCGTTTTGGAATCAAAGCAAATCCGACTCGCCCAAACGCGTTGACGTTACGCGTGTATTTGTATTTTTTTTACACGTCTCAATTCAGATTGTGCCAAACAAATCGCAGGGCAATAAATAATCTTTATGAGGAGAAGAAGTTCCTTGACTTGTTTGTGGTCGGGGTTGCCCAGGCCAAGACAGATGGATTTTCTTTGGGCAAATTCACAACCGGAGCTCTTGGCTTGGTGTAAATCTCTCTTGCAAGAAGAGAGTATTGATTAGGTCTATTTCATCAGAGGCTGCGAACGCTCGTCTTCCGTAGTCATTTAGCGATGCGGTGAAACCTGCTCACCAGATCATCATAGGGTGTTTAGAGGCCCTATTCTAAATAATAATCACGATGTATATATCAAAATATTACAAACCATATGTAGCACAATTCACATTACCTATGTGGCCCAGTGAGAGCGACAATGAAGGAGCCTACCTCACTTCAAATGAAGCATATTGGGAATCGTGTCCACAATACAAGTTGTGTTCTTGAGCGGGAGG